TGTCTTTTTAGTGATCTCTTGCTTTCTTCATGGGTAATGTTCTTGATATCTTCCCATAATTCATCTGGCTTTCGGTCGTTGGTGTTCAATGCTTTGGGTAAAATCGGCATTTTCACAGTGTTAGGTTTTCCTATCCATGAGCATGGCTTATTCTTCCATTTATGTAGGTCTCTTTTGGTTTCTTGTAGTATTTTGTACTTTTTTCTTTATAGGTCTTTTGTCTTTCTGGTTGGATTTATGCCTAAATACTTTGTATCTGATGTTTTCTTACAGTTAGATTTGAAGTTATGCTTTTGTGGCAAGAATATCACAGAAGTTATGTGTGCTTTTCCATGTATCATATCATGGGCTACATAATACTCATTTACCTTATTTTTAGTGATGTTAATCTTGGTCACTTGGTTAAAGGTGGTGTCTGACAGATTACTACACTGTAAGTTTACTGTTTTTTTCCTTTGTTATAAATATCTTGAGGGGGATACTTTGAGACTAGGCAAATACTCTGTTTCTCCTCAAACTTTCACTCACTAATCAAACATACATCCTTGACTCTTGCCTGCAACAATTATTTGTGTGTGGTGTTCCATTGGTAACTTTCTTTTTTTTTTCTTATACTTACAAATTGGACTTCTTATTTTATGAAGAAGAGCTGTCCTTTCTCTCACATTCAGTTATGTATATGAGTGTGGACACATGGATACTATATGACTTATAAATTTATTTTATTTCTCAAATTGTTCCAATTTTGAACACTGGGAGCTCTAATGATTTAGCTTCTATGTCCTTTTGACATATCACCATCTTTTTTTTTTTTATTTATTTTTATTTTGTTGAGAATACATACAAGAAAACATTGATACAACAGTTTCTCATGTATAATTTAGTGATATTGATTACATTCTTTTAGCTGTACACCATTCTCACCCTTAAGGTCTCTCATATTTCAGGTTGCCATTATCAGTATGATCCTATATGTCATAAAGACAGACTTTTTTTTTTTTTTTCCTAGTTAAGCTAAACTGTTGTTCAATTTTAAGATGATGGTGGGATATTTTGGGTTTAAGGCTTAAAGATTATCTCTGGGCTATAGTTTCTGGGGTTCAGCACCATCTTTGGTTCCAGAAAGTCTAGAGTCCGTGAGAATATGAAATACAGGTCTGCATTTCCCCTTTTTGATCAGGATTCTTCCATAGAATCTTTGACTGAAAAGTTTAATAATGCTTGCCAGACCCCGTTCAGTTCTGGTTTCATGGCAAAGGAGGCATTTGTTCATGGAGGCAATTAGCCACACATACATATCCTCCTCCTTTCCTGACTCTCCTTCCTCTGTTGTTCTAGGTGAATAGAGACTGATTGTTGTACATTGGGTGGCTGATTGCAGGCTTTTGAGACCCTAGGCATTAGACAGTTAAGGAGGTAGAAGAGAATCATGAAACACATTATTGGACCAGTTAACTGGGATGTCCTATGAAACCATGTTCCTAAACTGCCATACCAAGGAACCAAGTCCCTTGAGGTGTTTGGTTGTACATAAGCTGCCCCTGTAGCTACTCTTTCTTTGTCATTGTTATAAATATAACTGTCACACTTTTGCCAATTAAGCTTTTTACAGGTATTCAACTTATTGACAGTAATTACTATGGTATTTATAATAATTCATATTATTATAAGGGTAGGCAACTCTACCCTTAATGTGATTTATCTATCACTCTTAACCTCCTCCCTCCTTCCTGCCCTTAGTAACCATTAATAAACTTTGGTCTCTGTGCTTTTGCCTTTTCTTGTCTGTTTATATAACGTCATATAATATTTGCCCTTTCCATCCATACTGCAGCATGTAGCAAGACTTCCATTCTCTTACTGACTGAATATGTATGTATGTACCACATTTTGACATGTCTCCATCCTCTAGGCTCACCTTTTGTTTTCCTTTTCCCAGCCCTGGAATCAGCCACTCCCAGTGAACCCTGGTTCATCTGATCAAACTTTCTTTTTATAACACTTCTTACTTTTTAAACTCTATAGCATATTACACATTTTGGATTTAGCTGATGGCTTCTTATGGGGTCATTTAACTTCCGTCTAGTAGTTCTCACACTTTGCTATATATTACTGTCAACTGGAGGCTTTTAAAAATCCAGATACCTAGGTTTCACCCCGTACCACATAAATTAAAAACCTTAAGGATGGAACCCACGCATCAGTAGTTTTTAAAGGTCACCAGCTATTTCCAAAATTGTAGTAAATTTGAGAACCATTGCTGTGTGTGTAATTTGTGCCCTTTACCTGTAATGGTAGTAAGATCTGAATAGAGTCACGTTTAGGTATTTTTGTCCCTTTTATTATATTTTGTGAAGGTTGATCAATGGGGTTTGACTGTCTTCTTGGCTTCAGCTCTACTTCCTCCATTTGGTACCATTGCCTCTTTCTAATTCTCCTGTCTCAGTCTCTCACAGTGAGTTCTCTGACATGTTCCCAAGAATCTGTGATTCTCTTTACTCCGTGATTATAGCCATGAATGTCTGTTTTTTGTATTGTGGGCTGCATAATCACCAATACCTCCCTCTGAAGGCCTTTCTAACTGCCTCTACTTTGATGACCCAGAGGCTCATCAGCATCCAAAATTGAATATGCTGTCCCTCTAAACCTGCTTTTTCATCTTTTGTTCTTTTATTCATTCAGCACATATTTATTAAATATATACTATAGTCCAGACCATGTTCTAGGTACCAGTGGTGCAAAGATGAAAACTAAACTGGCTTCAAAGAGATTCTTGTTTGGTGTGTTTGCTCCTGTGTTCCCCATTTCAGTTAATGACATTGGGATCTGCTTGGTCAGAAGCCTTTTTGTATTATCCACTCTTCATCTGTGTAGCCTATCAATTTGTTTTCTCCACTGATTCTTCCTTTATACCACTTTAAAGATTTAAAACTCAAGGCAACTCTGTCTTTGAGGCAGCTAGCATGGTCTTTTGAGTAATAACTAATGAGAATTTTGATGCAGTCACTTAAGTCTGTGTGCCCCCAGTCAAGTTACTAAACGTCACAGAATTTACTTTCCCCATATGTAAAATTGGAATCATAATCTCTACTTCACTAAGTGGTTGAGAGAATTAAATGCTTTAACTTGTTCTTCACCACTCTTTCCTCTAATGCTGGTGAGTAGCACCAGTTGCACCATTCCAAAACCCAGGTACCGTCCTAGATTCTCCCCTTCTCTTATCATCCTCAGTGATACTTATGCTTACATAGCTCTCAAACCTTCATCTTTTGCTCAAACAATTACAGTGCTCTCTTAACTCTTCATCTCATACTTAAGCATCATAGCAGCTCCATGATAGTAAAGGCAGTAATTTCCAATCTTTAGCAGATGTGAAAACTCAGTTCCTGAAAAGTTAAATGATTTGCCCAAGGCCATACAGGTTGGGATTTTAGAGCTCCAGCTGACCACTACTGTGTTCTACTGCCTTACAGTAGACATTAGAGACAGTGAGAAGACGGACCCAATTAGAGCAATTTAGAGCCTATGCTACTTCAATTTTCACTGGAAGGGGCTGATCTCTAATAGTCTTCTCTCTGACAAAGCCCAAGATTTAGGATTTATGATAATGACTAATCATTCTAATCACCTATGGATTTGTTACTGTTAATATGCAGGTCAGAGATGGTACCTGAGATTTTCTGCATTTATAGCTGAAGATAATTTTATGTGAACTCTATTAGATTCTCATCTACAAATTGTAAGACATTCTGTGTTCATAATTGTATGCATAATTATGAAGTTACCCATGGTATGGAGAAGAATGAAGGCTCCAGGCACTACTACTTTATCTTGGGCTTTATGTTGACATCACCGAGCTGCTTTGAAAACTGCTAATGCTTAAGGCATACTCCAGACCGATTAGAATATCTGATGAGTGGGCCTCTATGTTAAAATAAAATCCTCATGTGATTAGAATGCTCGCCTAACTTTAAGAACCACCATAAGCAAAAACATTAATTTACTGAATTCTTTCAGAACCTAGGGATGCTTGTTTTCCAAGTTAACGAAATCTGTATTTGACATTAGATGCCTATTGAAATAAATTCTGTATCATGAAAGTTTCTGTGAGTTAAAAAGACCTTAAAAGTTAAGGAAGTGAAGTTATCACAGCAGTGTTTTGATTAAGGCTCGTGCTATAGGTAAATGAATGTTCCTCTTTGAAGGAATAAGAATAAAGGTAGGAATATGCTTTTTCTGGCAGGACTGTTGCTACCAATTCTCATTGTACTTTCTTAACCTAATTTCTCTTTCCAAAAGGGATTTTTTGCCAGGTGGAAGGAGAGATTATACAGTCCAAGTTCAGCTGAGGTGAGTTTGAAATTTTCTTTTACTTAATTTTACACTTGCTAAATACGTGTGCATTGTCATACATGTTGAAATACATGAGCATGTTTGAGTACACTATTTAAGGGTTTTTTTTTGTTTGTTTTTATGTAGACTTTGCCTGGCAGAGACAAGTTGCCCTCAAGAAGACAACTATCCCAATAGCCTATGTATAAAAGTAAATGGGAAGCTGTTTCCTTTGCCTGTAAGTTACTTTTTATTCTCTAGGCTTGCATGTTAGGTTAGTATAAACACTGATGTGACCTAGAAGCAGTGACAACTCAGTACTAATGAATAGTTCTAGCAACCAGATTTAATACCATTTTCCATTAGAGGGATTCATGGCTCCTGGGAGTAATGGCTGATTCCAGGTCTAGGGCAGATGAAAAAGATGAACCTGGAAAATCTTTTGCCAGAAAACAAGAAAACCATGAAAGACTGTTGGGACCACATCAGGTGGCATAGAGGCAAGGCAGAACTTGGGCACTTGCATATGTAGGGTACCATGTTGTGGTGGATATCTGGATTAGTTGGGCCTGAGCTGTGGATGTGGTAGTTAAGGTTGTGTGTCAACTTGGATTGATTTTGAGTGGCTTGGCAGCTAGATACAGTTAGAAAGTAAGGAGAGTTGTAACTCCAGATGGCAGAGAGACAGGAGCAATAGAGGCATCAGAACCAAGAAACTGGTATGAGACAGAGTAGCAGGTTTCCTGGCCCATGGAGAGGAGAGCTGAGTGCCTTTGGGCAGGAAGTTTCCTGGCAGAGTGGGTTACTTCATACACTAACTGGTAGAGCTGAAGAGCTTTATAATACTTGCTGAGACAGGACAGAGGCTAGGCCAGCCTCTTCAAGAGACCAAGGAAATGGGAAAAAGAGCTGCCTCAGTCTCAAAGGGTAGGACCATGGCCTCTTGGGTTTCAAAGGGTGAAACCTCCATAGCCTTCTAGGTTTCAAAGAGTCAAATCTTCACCAGCTCAGTTCTAGAGTATGGAGCTGTTGTACATGAGTGTAAGTAGGATGGGGCCAAATTCACTGCCCAAAGCTGAGGAGGTGAGGCTGCCATGCCCAAAGAGCAGAAGAACGGGGCCTGCCAGGCCACGGAGGTGAGATTGTCACTCAAAATGGAGTAGGAGAATTGGGCCACCCAAGTCTTTATGGTTTAAGAAGATAGATACAGGCACCAAGTTGACATGGGGTGGACTTTGGTAGTTAAGGTTGTATGTCAGCTTGACTGGGCTTTGATTTTGAGTGGCTTGGCAGCTGTAATGTAGTTATTCCGCATGATGAGTTTGTTGTTGTTAGGTGCCATGAAGTCAGCTCTGACTCATAGCAACACCATGTACCACAGAATGAGACGCTGCCCAGTCCTGCGCCAGCCCCACAATCCTTGCTATACCTGAGCCCATTGTTGAAGCCACTGTGTCAGTCCATCTTGTTGAGGACCTTCCACTTTTTCGCTGACCCTCTGTTCTGGTTACCTCTGTGCTGCTCTGACAGAAATATACCATAAATGTGATGGCTTGAAAAACAGGAGTTTATTCTCTTCCAGTTCAGGAGGCTAGAAGTCTGAGTTCAAAGTGCCAGGCTCTCGGGGCTGTGTGAAAGTCCCTCGACCTTGGGCTTCAGCTCTGCCTCTTGCTCCTGGCCCACTGAAGCTAGAGGCATCTCTTCACTCAGGCAGCTACTGGCTGCTGAGGCTCATAAGCCCAAGGTCAACAAATAAAATGACACAGTCCTGGTGTTACTAAACCATACGGCAAGGCACTGATTCAAGTCCATTAAGAATCCCAGGACTGGCAGAGCATGGCAGGCTGCTGAACAATGACTCAACTACATGCAAGGTTCAAACATGCCATAAACTGGAGACCATTCCCAAAGCTGTTTCTTATATTCAGGAAGCAGACCACATCTCTAAAGCAGCTGCTCACATAGATTCCACCATGGAGCTGATTGCCAGTCTCATCATGGGGAATACTACATCCAGCTGCCCAGCCACTCAACCAGGCCCAATCAAGTTGACATACAACTTTAATTACCACAATTCCACCCCTTGTCAACTTGGCACCTGTATAGATTTTCAATGGGTGGCATCTGTACAGATCTCCTTCACTGCGTGACTCCAGTCTCCTAGTTCCTAAGTGGCGACCTCACCCCCTTTTCCTGGTGAGCCCCGTTCCTTTCCCTCTTGGCCATGGCAGCCCTGCCCTCTCACTCTTGGGCAGTGGCTATGATATCATCCCAGTAGCTCACGTGAATGAGTAGCCCCACACTCCAGAACAAAGTTGGTGAAAGTCTGGCTCTTTGAAACCTAGGGGACTGTGGTGGTTCCACCTCCAGAGGCCATGTTCCTACCCTTTGAGACTGAGGCAGCTCTGCTTCCTGTTTCCTTAGTCTCTCCACTTCTGCTGTTGAATGCAAAAGGCAGCCCACTCTGCCAGAAGTCTTCCTGCTCCAAAGCACTCAACTTTCTTGCTCCATGGACCGGCCAACCTGCTACTCCATTTCATGCCGGTCTTTTCTACCAATTAATGCCTGAAGGCAACCCACTCCGCCAGGTGGCCGCCTGCACAATAGCATCCAGCTTTCTCCTCCATGGGCTGGTAAGGCTGTCACTGTCTCATGCCGGTCTCTGGGCTCTGCTCCTGCCGTTTCTCATGCCGGTTTCTTAGCTCTGCTCCTGCCATTTCTCATGTCGTATGCCGGGGTCTCTTTGCCAGGGTCTCAGGTCAAGGACACACTCCACTCCTGTTTCCACATTTTAGGTATCTGTCAGAGCAGCATTCCACTCTCGGTACTGTATTCTAGGAAGCTGCCCGCGCAAACTCACCCCCCATTTTACCAAGCATGATACCCTTCTCCAGGGAATGGTCCCTTCTGACGTGACCAAAGTAAGTGAGATGAAGTCTGGCCATTCTTGCTTTCAAGGAGCATTCTGGCTGTACTTCGTCCAGGACAGATTTGTTAGTTCTTTCAGCAGCCCATGGTACTCTGAGTATTCTTCGCCAACACTACAACTCAAAAGCATCAACTCTTCTTTGGTCTTCCTTGTTCATTGTCCAGCTCTCCTAAGCATATGAGGTGATTGAAAATACCATAACTTGGGTTAAAAACCAAAAACAAACTCATTGCCATTGAGTCGGTTTGACTCATAGCGACCCCTCCTTTGGTTTCTGAGGCAGTACCTCTATGGAAGTAGATTGCCTAATCTTCCTTTGACGAGTGGCTGGTGGATTTGAACTGCCAACCTTCTGGTTAGCAGTCAGATGCCTTAGATACTACGCCCCTAGAGCTTGGGGTAGGCACACCTTAGTCTTCAGGAGACATCTTTGCTCTTCAGTACTTTAAGAGGTCTTTTGCAACAGACTTGCCCAGTGCAGTACATCGTCTGATGTCTTGAGTGCTGCTTCCATTGGTGTTGATTGTGGAACCAAGTAATGTAAAATCTTTTACAGCTTCAGTCTTTTCTCCATTTACTGTGATGCTGCTTTTTGGTCGAGTTGTGATGATTTTCATCTTCTTTATGTTGAGATGTAATCTATACAGCAGACTGAAGTCTTCAGTCTTCATCAGTAAGTGCTTCAAGTCATCCTCACTTTCAGCAAGCAGAGTTTTGTCATCTGCATATGGCAGGTTGTTAATGAGTCTTCTTCCAATTCTGATGCCACGTTCTTCTTCATGTAGTCTAGCTTCTCAGATTATTTGTTTAGCATACAGACAATAAGTACGGTGAAAGGATACAACCCTGATGCACTCCCTTCCTAATTTTAAATCATGCAGAATCCCCTTGTTCTGTTTGAACAACAGCCTCCTGGTTTGTATACAGGTTCCTCATGAGTACAATTAAGTGTTCTGGAATTCCCATTCTTCTCAGTGTTATCAACAATTTGTTATGATCCACACAATCAAATGCTTTTGCACAGTCAATAAAACATCTTTCTGGTATTCTTTGCTTTGAGCCAAGATCTGTACATCAGCAATTATATCCCTTGTTCCATGTCCTTTTCTGAATCCAGCTTGCATTTCTGGAAGTTTTCTGTCAATATACTGCTGCAAACATTTTTTTTAAATATTTTCAGCAAGATTTTACTTGCATGTGATATTAATGATACTGTTTGATAATTTCCGCATTGTGTGGGATCACCTTTCTTTGGAATGGGTACAATATGGATCTTTTCCAGTCAGTTGGCCAGGTAGCCGTCTTCCATATTTCTTGGCATAGACGAGTGAGTGATTCCGGCATGGCATCTGTTGAAATATTTTAGTGGGTATTATGTCTGTTCCTGCAGTCTTATTCTTTGCCAGTTCCTTCAGTGCAGCTTCAACTTCTTCCTTCAGTACCATTGGTTCTTGATCATATGCCATATCCTGAAATGGATGAACACTGACCAGTTCATTTTAGTACAGTGACTCTGTGCATTGCATTCCTTCCGTTTTCTTTTGATGTTTCCTGCATTGTTCGATATTTTGAACAATAGAATCTTTCAGTATTGCAACTCGAAGTTTGAATTTTTCCTTCAGTTCTTTCAGCTTGAGAAATGCTGAGCGTATTCTTCCCTTTTGGTTTCCTAACTCCAGATCTTTGCACATTTCATTGTAATAATTGACTTTGTCTTCTTGAGCTGCTCTTTGAAATCTCCTGTTCAATTCTTTTATCTTTTCATTTCTTCCATTTCATTTAGCTACTCTTCATTCAAGATCAACTTGCAGAGTCTCTTCTGACATCCATTTTGATCTTTTCTTCCTTTCCTGTCTTTTTAATGACCTTTTGCTTTTTTCATGGGTGATGTTCTTGTCATCCCACATTTCCTCTGGTTTTTGGGCATTGGTGATCAGTGCATCAAATCTGTTCTTTCAGTGGTCTCTAAATTCAGGAGGGATATAATCAAGGTCATATTTTGGCTCTCATGGACTTGTTTTAATTATCTTCAACTTCAGCTGGAACTTGCATATGAGCAGTTGATGGTCTGTTCCACAATCAGCTCCTGGCCTGGTTTTGGCTGAATATACTGAGCTTCTCCATCACCTCTTGCCACAGATGAAGTCAATCTGATTCCTGTGTACTCTGTCTGGTGAAGTCCACATGTATAGCCACTGTTTGTGTTGTTGAGGAAAGGTATTTGCAATGAGTAAGTCGTTGGTCTTGCAAAATTCTATCATGCAATTTCTGCATTATTTCTATCACCCATTTCCAATTACCAGTGATTCTTCTTTGTTTCCAACGTTTGCATTCCAGTCACCAGTGATAATCAACACATCTTGATTGCATGTTTGGTCAATTTCAGACTGCAGAAGTTGGTAAAAATCTTTAATTTCCTCATCTTTGGCTTTGGTGGTTGACACATAAATGTGAATAATAGTCGTATTAACTGGTCTTCCTTGGAGGCGTATGCATATTATCCTATCACTGACAGCACTGAACTTCAGAATAGATCTTGAAACAGTCTATGTGATGATGAATGCCATGCCATTCCTCTTCAGTTGGTCATTCCTGGTATAGTAGATCATATGGTTGTCTGATTCAGAATGGCCAAAACCAGTCAGTTTCAGCTCCCTAATGCCTAGGATGTTGATCTTTATGCATTCCATTTCTTTTTTGACAACTTCCAATTTTCCTAGATTCATACTTTGTACATTCCATGTTCCAATTATTAATGGATACTTGCAGCTGTTTCTTTCCATTTTGAGTAGTGCCGCATCAGCAAGTGGAGGTCCTGCAAGCTTTACTCCATTCACATCATTAAGGTCGTCTCTACTCTGAGGAGGCAGCTCTTCCCCAGTTGTATTTTGAGTACCTTCTAACCTAAGGGGCTTATTTTCCAACACTGTGTCGGACAGTATTTCAGGGCTATTCATAAAGTTTTCCAGTAATGTATCAGACAGTCTTTCATTGCTGTGGTATAATCATTTCCATGGTGGAATCTGCTGTGAGCAGTTAATCATTTGAAGGGGAATTGCCTTTAGGGTGTGGCCTGCTTCCAGTATATATGATCCTGCATTTGGCTTGGCATCATCTCCAGTTCCTGGTCTTGAACCAGTGGCCTGCTTTGTTGCCTGTCCATCTTGGATTTGATAGCCTCAGCAGCCAACAGTTTGCCATCCTGCCTGCAAATCTGGATTGTACACATAGAAACTGCTGGATTGGTGTCTTTTGCTGTGTTATATTTTCAACAACATAAATATTTGGTGATGAAAAAAATATAACAAAGCATAAATAGCAGTATTATTATAACCAGCAAGCTAATTTATTACAAATTGAAATACTGATTATTTTTACTATCTTGACCTGGTTTTAAAGGCAGTGGAGAGCATTTTTAAAATACAAGTTTCTATAATCTCACAAAAGTTGAGTAATTCCTTTGAAATTAATTTGTTACTGTTTTACTCCCGTAGTTTGTTTTCTTTCTTTCCTACCCCTAGAATTTGAATATGTATAAATCTTAGTTCCTGTGAGACTTTATCTGTAATTCTTGGTTTCCTTATAGATAGAAAGACAATTCATAGCCAATATGGCAAGATGTCAGCATCTTGATTTTGATGAAGAAACACCTTTGTTTTTTTATTGTGCTTTTCTGAATTTGTGAAGTGTTTTATAGCTTGTCTGAAAGATCCTTTTCCTCTTTAGGATTGAGGACTTTAGGATAAGGACTATGTAATTTCCAAGATAAAATAAAAATAGATTGGTGTAATCAGACTCAGGCAAGATTCTGTATCTGTCTTGGAGAAAATGTTTAATATCCTCCCAGACTCTACAGACTCACTGCCATTAAGTTGATTCCAACTCACAGTGACTCCACTGGGTTTCTAAGGCTGTAAATCTTTATGAAAGCATAATGTCCCATCTTTCTTCTATGGAGAGGCTGTTGGATTCGAACCACTGACCTTTTAGTTAGCAGCCAAATGCTTAACCACTGCACCACCAGACCGCCTTTAATTTCCTACAGTGAAGTTAAAATTATTTTTCTTTCTTGTGATTACAGGGCTATGCTCCACCACCTAAGAATGGGATTGAACAGAAGCGCCCTGGACGCCCTTTGAATATCACATCTTTAGTTAGGTTATCTTCAGCTGTGCCAAACCAGATTTCCATTTCTTGGGCATCAGAAATTGGAAAGGTAAAGGTTTTCTTTGCTGGGTGGTATGAAAATGACCTCACTGGGAGATGGGTTATTGTGCTTTCTCTTAGGCTGCTAGCTCTAACTTATCCTGTTTCTGTATATAATCTCTGAAAAGCAGTAATCAACTCTTAAGATTGCTTGAGTTCATTTCTTTATTTTCCTGGGAAAGGTGTATGTGTATTGATACTGTTTCTTAAGGTAATAGGTTAATTGCTGTGTGTATGTGTCTGTGTAAGTATTATTTTAAGAACTGGAAACTTTGGGTGAGGTTATTTTCCAAGAGGAACACTACTTCAGTCTTTGGGGGAATGGGCTAAATGTACACATGCTGTGATTAGAAATAATCTATTCTAGTCTTCAAAAGCTTATCTTTCAGATAACATGTTGGCATCTCTTATAAAAAGATTTACTTAGAATTATATTATTTCCTCTACACCTGGCTTTGAACTTGGCTTTTTGCTGATTCTTAATCTCAGATTGATGGATTGTTATCAGTACTGATGAATACAAAAGGGAATTTTCATTTTAGAATTACTTGTTTATATAACTGATAGAATGGGAAAAGAGATTTCAGTTAATTTCTGAACTTCAACTTTAATATTTCTGTATCATGGAAATGAAGGATAATATCCCTGTTTTGTGGATTGAGAAACTGAGGCATACACTGTAAGAGCAATTTTTTTGTTTCATCACCAAGGAAAGTGCAGAACTAGAAATAAAGGATATTGTATTAAAAATAAAATATTACTATTTTAAATATTGTTCTCTAGAATTCTCATTTCTGAATTTTTACTGTAACTCATCAGTATATCAAAAGACACTCGTTACTAATATTTTTCACTTGCTTGAACTGAATGTACAGTGGTAAAACATTGCAAAAGGATTTAAAAACTCTTGGTTTAACCCCAGGTTGGCCATTGTTTTGGCAAACTTGCTTTTTAAGTCTGTGAGCCCAGCTTATTATGAAGATTAAATGGAATCTTGAGAGTGGGGGTCGTATGCATATGTAAGTGACATTATTAAATGAGCAAGTCAGTGCTTTAAAGCTCAGTGAGAGGAATGTGAACGTGAAGAGGCTTGTCTTTTTGAAATGATTATTAACTTACAGATTTTTAAATAAATGATTATGGACAATACACACCTTATAGTTTTGCCATATAATAGGAATAATATTCTCTCCTTGTAATTAAAATGATTAATTGACCTAAAATTTGCACAGTATATTGGGTATTCAGATATTTATAAAAAAAAAGACTGTTTCTGGTTACAAAACATTGAAAGAATGATATTTAAAATATTTTGTTTGGCACCTATTAAAAGAGATTTGTTTATTTAGAATCAGTCGAATGAATATATGTAGTAAAATGGTGAGATAGATTGTTTTAGCATTTAGGTAAATTTATCTCTCTCCTACTTACAGCTCTTTTAATAGCCAGGTTTAAGAGGTGCAGCATTGGATACTGTTACTTTCTTGCCTTTTTTATTTTTGTTATCTCATCATTTGTCTTATATACCATGGTAGCTGCCTTTGCCCCGTAAAATACCACTTTAGGGACAGGATTTACTTTATCGAAGCTTTTCTCAAAAGAAAGCTGATATTGGATTCATTTGGGTGATTAGTTTAAGGTTATGTGTTGTAGGTAGTCTCTTTTGCCAGAATTAGAACTTTAGAACTCTGGGTTTAAAGTATTAATTCAGATCCAAACCCCACCCACTGCTGTTGAGTCAATTCCAACTCAGAGTGGCCTTATGGGACGAGGTAGAACTGCTCCATAGGGTTTCCAAAACTGTAAAATCTTTGTGGAAGCAGACTGCCCCATCTTTTCTCCTGTAGAGCAGCTAGCGCTGGGTTTGTTGAACTGCCAGCCTTTGGGTTAGCACCAAGTACTTTGACCATAGTGCTAATTGGTCCTTGTTCTGAGTTGATTTTGTTAACTTCCAGTTGTTGATCTTCCTGTGGAAGTGATATGGAATGTTATTTTTGGAAACCAGAGTTTCTTAGCTGTTTTATGTAAATAAAGAGATGATTATCTCTCATCTTTAATACAGATTATCTTTCTTTGTAGAATTACTCCATGTCTGTATATCTTGTACGACAGCTCACATCAGCCATGTTATTACAGAGGTTAAAAATGAAAGGTATTAGAAACCCTGATCATTCCAGAGCACTAAGTAAGTAATGTTTATGAGACTAAGCATATGAGATACTTTATGGGGGGGTTGTCTCACACACATCAATACAAGAACAATTTGGGAACAATTACTACAAACGTAAAATGGATTTTGTGTTAAAACATGCTTTAAGAATGGAGCCCTGGAAAGCAAAAAGGCTTTCTTTTAGTGTACCCCAAAGATGATCAATTTTAAATCCCAACTAGCCTGATCTTTGACTTTTTTATGAAAACTCTTATTTAGGTAAACATCAGTATAATGGTAGTTTTGATGCATGAATTAACGTGATAGTAGGAATTTGAGTCTTCAAAACCTTTAGTGTATAATAGAATGTACACTTTAAAAAACATTCTAAGCTCTCTTGCAAAATTAATGTTGATATCCATCAACAGTATTTACTTTCTAGTTGTTTAATTTTGTAATTTCACTTTCATAATTTGTAATTATAAGCAGAGAAAAACTCTTTAGTAACACAAACTATAAATAGTTTATAGTTTATAAATTTACTTGAACAAGTCATTTTTCTGTGAAAAGAAATCGTTTTCTCCAAATTATCTACCATACCACTGAATGAGAAAGAGAAAAACGTTCTTGGTTGAAAAGGGAGCCTCAATTAACCAGAAAAGAGACAAGGTTTTATCTAGGTTGAAGAGGGACCCAGATAGAGCTGCTGAAATGGTATCTTGTCTTGTATACTCATGCTATTTCTGATCTCCTCAATAGCACTGTATTGGTCTTGCCTAGAACCGAAAGCCAAGAGAACTCATCCCTAGTTTTTCTTGCCTTATTCCAGTTCCACTGCCTGGAAAGGTTTACCAAGCCTCTCCCTACAATAGTGTTGAGAATTAGGTATCTGATGGAGAAGAGGTATATATGCATTAGCTTGTATGTACAATAACTGTGTACATTACTTGGTGAATAAATCACACACACATTACCACACCCATAGTAGTTTTCAATTACCAAAGGAGATAAAAGCATATTTTTGTATTTTCTGCTAACACACTTAATAATTGTTGGAAACAATCAATGCTGCCTAATAAAAACAGTAATGAATGAGTGTTAGAAAAGCATTGAAGCTCAGGGCTGCTGTGTTGTATCCACGTTCTTTCCCTAGTTGTTGTTTTGTTCTTAAGTCTTAATCAGCTTTTTGTTTTGAAACTCTTCCCTACCTGCAATTTTACTTTTTAAAAGAAATTTTAAAATTTCAATTAAACATGTGACTTAGAGTTTTTAAGTTGATAATTTTTAAACTTCATATTGGAAATACAGTCGTAGTTTTAATAATATTTAATGTTTTTTTTCTTTTTTTGCTCTTTTCTTGACCTAATTTGAAGTGTTTGGGAAATTTTAAACCACGATATGTATTTCTAGTAATTCTGTTCCAATGTCAGTAATAATTTTTAAAAATGATTTTTACTATTTTTTCCCCTTCTTTTTAAAGTTAAAGAAAAACTTACTGCAGATCCTGATAGTGAGATTGCTACAACTAGCCTTCGTGTGTCCTTAATGTGTCCTGTAAGTAAAGTAGCACAATATTCTAGGGAGTTTTACTTTTAATACATTATTTTCGTATAAAAATGAATTTGGGAATTAATGACATTATGATGCAATGACTAAACAAGAAGAGAGCTAAAATAAATTGTATTAAAGAGGGACAGTAACATTGGGTTTAGAAATTATCTGTCACAGTTAATACTACAGATAATCCACACCTAATAGTACACATAAGAAAGTTGGCTTCTTGTATCAGAATATAAATAGTATTGAAAAATACCAGTAGAGTTGCTAAAGCCTAAGATACAGTAATTGATGGTGTTGATTTAATCACTTTTGTCACTTACAGGATGTGTGGGGTGTCTTAATCTGCTTGTAATGTAGTTTTAAATTAGCAGTAATTTTTATTTTATATCTTATGTAGACTCTATGTAGAATCATTCAGTAACTCTGAGATTTTCTGTGCTTGGCACCTAGCTAACTGTGGGACAAATACTGAAGACTTGCTAAGAAGTTGTCAGAAAGTTAATAATCTAGTTTAAGAAACAAAAGAAATTTACATGAAGAAAAGCAGACTGTACTTAGCAGATGTAATTGTGCTATTGGAGTACCAAAGAAGAGAGGAGAAAAGTCAGGAATAGTGGATAGAGGAAGAAAGTGCTCTGACATAGTTTACCTAAGGAGTTTCCACAGTTATACAATGCCATTTTCTGTGTTGTTTTTTTAGAATTTGTTCCTTCCTACCCCAGAACAGACTGTGCCATTCTGTGTGAGATATTCAAAACAAAACACAATAACCAAACACACTAAGGGATTTTCAGTGTTTGAGAATAGTGAGAGTGGTGTATCTAGTGGTTAAGATTCCTTCTACACAAGAATAAGGAGCATTTCTTTTCAAATGTGACAGTCGTCGTAAAATCGACAGTTTTGAGAATGTTAAATTATTTGAAGAAGTGAAGTAACAGATCAGATGATTTTTGATCCTATATTAAGTTAATTAAAGTCCTTTCTTAAAAGTCTTTGCTTAAAAATGATAGTGGGTCTTTCTGATACCTCAGCTTTTCCTCAGGATTCATCCTGATTTTTATCAGCGATAACTCTTACTAAGACAAAGAATGATTAATATTCTTTGGGCTCTAGTAGTACCCTAGTGGTACAATGATTAAGTGCTCATCTGCCAACCAAAAAATCAGTTCAATCCCACTATCCGCTCTGTGAGAGAAAAGACCTGACAGTCTGCTCTCATAAAGATTACCACTTAGGAAACCTAGGAAGTACTTCTGCTCTGTCCTGTGTGGTCATTATGAGTTGCAGTCACCTTGATGGCACCCAACAACTGCTAACATAAAGTTGGATAGCAATACCGTAGAATGTGATGTATATTTAAGAAACCAAACACAAGTGTTTAGATCTGATTTGACAGATGGATGGCAGAATTTAGATGAAAAAAGTAGCTTTTGAGGAAAAGAAGTACAGTACTACCATCAGTTGAAAGCAAAGGGGAGTAGTGCAACCAGTTGATTTTGGAAATAACACAGGGTCAGGTGCAATGACAGTGGAAATGGAGACAAAAAAAATGGATCACAGATACTTGGAAGGGGAAGTAGTGAAGGAGAGGTGAGTTTGTTTTGCAGAAAACAAGGAGAGAGAAAATAGCCTACAATGGTGAAAGAAATGTTCTTAATTATATTTCCCAATGTTTGTAAAATGATTTAGAGTAGATGTGAACGTGGATTGAAAAATAAATAAACTAGGTTTCTGAGGCAGTAAATCTTTATGGAAGTAGACTGCCCTGTCTTCCTTCTGCAGAGCATCTGGTGGGTTTGAACTGCAAGCCTTCTGAGTAGCAGTCAGATGGCTCAGGCACTACATCAGCAGAGCTTCTTCATTATATTTCCCAATGTTTGTAAAATGATTTAGAGTAGATGTGAAGAATTAAAGAATAGTATTTCTGGCAAGATGGCAGACTAGGCAGAAAGATTGCACAGACCCTCTTCAACAAAGAAAAGGGAAAACAGTTAACACAGACACAGAAGATAATCTTGGACCCCTGAGCCTTGAAGGGAAGGATATAGAAGTGGACTAACCCCCAACTAGCAGAAGAATTTGCGTGAAAATACCAAAAAAGGAGACATATGGAGCTGCGGTCTGGCAACGATCCTGAAGGCACAGACACTTGGAGATTCCCGAGTGGTGGTAGGACCTAAGAATTAACCTAAAAATCACCCTGCTAGCCAGGGACTGCACGGTGGCTAGGGAACAAACGGAGAAGGTAAAGAGAAAGGTGGGCTGAATTGTGGACTTTTGCCGGTCCAGAGGGCACCGCCATTTTGAAGGTTTAAAAAGCGGCTTGACTATTTTGGATATTTAAAGAGACAGCGCTCTTGCAGATTTCTGGGGCTTGAGAACATGTTCTGCTTTTCAGCAACCCCAGGGACACTCAGGACCTGCAAGACTGATAAGGTACGACATTCCTCTTGTGACTCTTATAACCCACACCCGCTTGGTGAACGGAGGTGTGGCCATCCCCCACTTCCACCTACCTTCTGGGCCCAGAGGAACTCCATCACAGTCTGTGCTCAGACTGAGCCAGGATGCCCTGCCCTGTCCTCCACCGATTTTTTTTTCCCTTTTTTTATTTTTCACTTTTCTTTTTTCTGGTGATTAGTTTACTTGTATTTGTCTGTTTTAAAACAACTAATATTATTAATACTTTTGTCCTTTAAATTATTATTCTTAATCTTCCCCTACCAGGTCCTAGTTTTCAGCACTTTTTCTTTTCCCTGTGCCTGGTTAAAATTTTTTTTTTTTTTTTTAAATGTTTTTTTTTCTTTTCTCCCTTTTTTCTCATGATTAACCCCATTACTTGTTTTCCTTTTTGCATTTTTCCCATTTTTTTTCTTCATTTATTATTCTCCTTCCCTACTTTTTTTTTTCTTAGTGCCCTATCCCCAGATATTGCAGGTTTTCTTGTTTTTTTTTCTTTTTTCCCTTTTTTCTTTTTTTGGTTACTGTTCCTATGTGATTACATGGTGTGTTTTTCGTCCATG